CCGTCCAGCTGCTTCCCCAAAGCCCATCAGCAACCAATGCTGCAACACAGTGAGCCCCATAGAGTACTGAGAACTGAACCCAGGGTCTTTGCACTGAGCTCCACCCCCAGCCCATTTTGCTTGTTATCCTGAGACAGAGTCTCACTGTATCACCCAGGCTGGGCTTGATCTTGCAACCCTCCTGCCTCAGCCTCCCAGAGTGCTGAGATTACAAGATAGTGTCACTGTACCTGGCTACAATGAGTCTTTTCTGGGCACAGTTTTGATCCCAGCCACACCACAGCCAAAGAAAGCGGTAGCATTCCAGCAGCTCAGAGTCCTGTTGGTGGATACCTGGGGCAGCAGGGAGCTAGCACAGACCCTAGGCAGGACAGAGACAGGCTGGGCGGCTACAGTTAGCAGATCCCTGTGGACAGGTGGGCAGGGCCAGGGCACCAGGAGGTTAGATGAGGGGACACAGGAAATGGCTAAGAGCCAGGGTGGAGGACAGCGGTGACCCTCAGAGGGGAGGAAGCACTCAGCCTCCAGTCCATGTGACAGCAGGACAGCATCAAAGCTGGGACCCTGGACCAGGCAGTGGCATGGAAGGTAGGAATTGTTAGGCCAGGTGAAGTCACACAAGGTGGCCCACAGGTGGTCACCAGGAGAGCCAATGAGCCTAGGCTGCTGTCACATCAGCACTCAGCCAGGCTAAAATCCTGGGACGCAGGGTGAGGAGTGCAGCAGTGTGACTGTGGCTGCCCCTGGGGACGGGACGAACTGATGTCTTCCTCTGCAATGGGGATGAGGGGGGTGGGGACCCTTACCTGCTGAGGGCTGAGCCCCAGGGAGGGGCTCCCTGATGAAAGGGGCCCAGGAAGCTTTCTGGCCCTTTCTTAACCTCATGGGGACACAGCCTGGGGAGCATCAAGCGCCCCTACTTCCTCCTGCTCTGTATCCTGAGTGAGATCCCAGAAGGCTGACCCCAAATTTCCAAGGCCAAGACCTGGGCTTCCCAGGTGCTGCTGATGGTGCTTCGGTTTGTGCCCTCAGCCAGGTTCCTGCACCCTCCCAGCTGCGCATGAGGCTCACACTGCCCTCACGGGGCCAGCGGGGCAGCGCAGCCTGCCCTGTCAATGCTTCCAACCTGGCAGGCCTTTTTCACCTGGAACTCAACCAGCCCCAAGGCAGGCCAGTGTGAAGCATACCCTGGGACAGAGCTGCATCCTCAGGCCCTTTTCTTAATGTTTCTTTTACAGCTGGGTGTAGTGGCACACACCTGTAATCCCAGAACTCTGGAGGCTGAGGCAGGAGGATCGTTGCAAGTTCAAGACCAGTCTGGGCTACAAAGTGAGCCCAAGGCCAGCCTGAACTGCATGGCGAGACCTCATTTCAAAAAGAAAAAAATAATGTATTCCTCTGTGGTCAGAATTGGCATTCAACAAGCTGCCAGTCTGTGAGGGCCCTGATTATTAGCACAGGCAAACGTGCACAGCTCTCCCACACCACTCCCCCAGCCCACAGCCCTGGTACAGCCTCAGAGAAGCTGCGTGTCAGCACTGAACTTACGGGCAGGTTCCTCTACCAGCCTCCTGCTGGCAACTCTGGCCAAGAGCTTCTGTTCCAATCCACTGAATCCGTCCATATCAACCCAGCAATGTCCAGGCCAAACACTGAATCTATTGGGACAAGGTGCTGGGCCACTGTATTGAGGTCTCACTCTCTTATTCCTGTTCTCAGCTTTGTTTTTCTGGATGAAGTTGGCCATGGGGTCTCCCTCTTGTTCTTTTTCTCTCAGTGTCCGATCCAGGTCTTCACCATCACTGTAGTGGCCAGAGGCTTGCGTCTTCATCGCATTCTCCACATTTCACTGCTGTTGCCAGCTCTGGGCCAGCCCTGTGCCCCCCTGGGCACACAGCTCTTCTCGTTCTGAGTCCTTCTCTGATTTTCTCTTTTGCCTGAGATGTTCCAGTCTCAAATACCTCTTATGACCAGACTTGTCAGGACACACAGTTTCAGCAAACGAATTCAGCTTCAAACACCACCTTTCCTTGGTCCCAGTTTTGGGGCTCGTGCCGTTCTTGCTGTATGTCAGTTAACACCAAGCTGGTATTACCCCAGAATCCAGGTGTGAAGCCTTCTTTCCAGGAGGCCGACTTCTTTGAGGTGGGAGACAGATCAGAATCAGATTTGGTCCTCGGCTTCCTCCTGGGTGGATGGAAGTCAGAATCAGAGCTCCAACATCTTGCTCTATTCCTCAGAGGTGACAGATCTGAATTGGGAACCTGGTGCCCTGGACTCCATTGATGCCATGGAGATGAAAGCTCTGAATCTAAGACTTTCCAGCAGTCACCTTTAGAATCAAGCTGATGCTTATCTACAAAATGCAACTTTGTTTGCTTTCTTCATGCAGGAGAGAGGTCCGAGTCATATTCCCTTTTGATGCTCTTCAGAAGTGTTGAGGGTGTCCTGACCCCTTCCAGTATGACCAAGTCCTGCGGGAGGAGGTTTCTGGGGTTTTATTACTTTTGGTTCTAGGCCATGAATGAACATGAGGGCCCAAATCAGAGGCATCACAATGGCACCTGTGTCTTAGAAGTCAAGCTCCTCCTAGCTCGGGATCTGTCAGCGCAATTGCTGTAACACCTTCTGGAGGAAGACACACCTGAGGAATCATTAGGGACTCTTCTAGGAGACCCAGCTGAAGTGTTATGGCAAGGCTTTCTAAGCAGGGATGCATCTGAGGAGTCACAGCAGACCCTCCTGACAGGAGATGGATCTGGGGTATCAGGATGGAAATGACAGCATGGTCCCCCAAAAGCTTCCATTTGCTTTAGCTTTTTTGGCCACTCATTCACAAACTCAGCCCTCCCAGGCAAATCTCCATCATCTTGCTCCTCCTTTTCTGGTTTTGTGGGAGAGACAGCTGTCCGGCTCATGTCAACACCAACAGTCTGCAATCCCTTACCACGGCCCCTCCAGGCTTCATTCGATGCTGGCATGTGTCCCGGAAAAGTAATGTTTCAGGTCCTCAGCCTTGGAGAGTGGCAAAGCTGCCACCATAATAGCACCGAAGATGGGAAGATGAGTTCTGTGTCTTTTCAAAGCTTGTGCTATAAACATCTGGCATGGTGTGGTGTTATTTACCATTCCCTGCAGGAATCCAATCCACCGAAAATGCTTCGCTGGCTCGTGAAAATTAATGCTAGGTGTTAGGTTTTTCAGTACAGCTGAGAAACAGAGAGAAAAAGATATAGAGGCCTTTACTGTGGGAATGGGAGGGCTGCAGTAAAACACAAGTACCCTCTGACCAGAACAAAGGAGTGGCTGAGCTTTTATTAGGTTTGGCTGGGGGTGGAGCTTGGTGTGTGTGTGTGGGGGGTGACATATCAGCAGCTGATTGGAGAAGCACAAAACAGGAAACAGGAAGTGTTTTGAGGCTGAGAGGAGAAGAAGAGAGTTGACTGCTGTTGTTTTTGGGCTTCTTCGCCATATTGGGCTGTCATGACTTGGTGAATTTCATATGGGCAGAAACCTATCATTGGTACTGAAAATGCAAAAAAAAAAGCTCAATCCTCTAAATGGTCATCCGAGGACCAATGGATTGTCAGCACCTTGATAGTGGTTGTTGTGGCTTGAAGGTTGTGGGTTCTGGTCATGTTGGGCACGAAATATTGGGGGCCCAGCGAAGAGCCTTGATTGTGATGTTCAGCCACATGGTTGGAAGAGAAAGCGTGCAGAGGGCATCTGCACGCTGGAGGCTGAAGGATTCAATCCAAGGTCCGAGGTTCTCTGCAGTGTCCTGTGCCAGTCCGCATCAGAAGGCCAATGGGTCTGCGACAGGAGGCTGAAGGATCCAAGGCAGAAGCTGAAGAAGAGTGCTGGAAGCGAGGAGATGACTATGAAGCCAAAGGTGAAGACTGGAGCTCCTCTGAAGACCGGAACCTTGTGCATCTTCTCCTTCCCTTCTTTACCATCCAGGGGATGAGCCACCCTAGAGCGGGTCTTCTTCACCCCAGAGTGGAGAATTGTTAAACTGACTTAGCTAAGCTTCTAAATGTCTGAAATTGATACAATCAATCAACCACTTCAGTCCAGCCCTTGTCAACTTGGCAACCAGACCCATTTCTTTAAACCACAGTCTCTAGTGGCAGATCTGTGCAAAGTCAGCATGCCTTGGTCTGTTCAGATTTACACTAGCATATGCAGAATTCTTTTGCACTCATTCCCTTACCAAAAGCAAAATATTCAAACAGTCACCAAAATTCAAGGTTAAAACACAGAACTTTGACTAATTAGCTTGATTACAAACGTATAAAAATGACATTAAAATCATATGAGAACTAATCACTGCTCTTGCTTTTCATTAAACAGAGCATGGCAAGATTACAACACAGGATTTCCTGCAATTCCAATACACACTTCCCTTCAGGTGAAGGACTTCAGTTCATACATCCACTGTCCTCTTGCTTCTCAGCAACCCACTGTCCTCTGTGTCCCACAGTTCCACTAGCACCTTCCCTCTGACCAAATGTCTCAGGTGGCTCTACTGGCTCTTTGCTCTTAATTTCCAACGCAGATCTGGTTGAAAACTCTCCACGGTGACCATGCTACCATCCAACAGTACACTACGCCTTAATCTTCCTGCCACCCAGGCATTATCTCTAAACACAAGCAAAATGCAGAACAATTTTCAGCCAAAACACAGTATACTACCTGGGACCCCAGCAGCCAATGCAGACCTCAATAGAAGCCTCCCAAGCTTCATCTTAACCAGCAGCATCTCCATCAGTTACTCTGATTTCCCAAGCTCCAACCAGTTTCCAATATAGTTTACAGCATACTGGGGCTGTCTTTTGAGGAAGTCTCTCAAAACCTTTCCAAATTAATTCCAAAGGCCACACGGCCAGGCAACATCACAGCAATGACTCCACTCTCTGGGTACCAACCTTGTTCTCAGGGATTGCAAGGAGAATAATGACATACAGGACACAAAATTTAGTGTTATTTATGATACTCACCCCAAGAGTCAAATACAAAGGAAGTGCAGGAAATCTGTCCACACACTAAGGACTTAGAGAATCCAGCCGAGGGCCTGGATCCCGTGGCAATGCCTTGCAAGAGTTCAGCTGAAGACTTAGAGCCCGTGACAATGCCTCCAAGGAGTCCAACTGGAGGTCTAGAGCCCATGCGAGTCTGTTTCATGGATCTGTGCTAGGAAGGCCCCAAGGTCAGTGGTGGAAGCTAGAAAGTCTGTGCCCGCAGGTTGAAGGTTCTGCACTGGAGCCAGGAAGCAATGCTCAAAATAAGGACCAGGGCTCCCCTGAAAAGTACCACAGCCATCTTCAGTGACAGCGAGGTCCCAAGCTCCTCCAATAATGAGAACAGCTGAGTTTATATCAGGAAGCCAGCATGACAAGCTTTTCCTGGAGATTGAACAGCACACATCTTCGTCTCCAGAACCAGGAAGCCATGCTCAAAGTAGGAACCAGAGCTCCCCCAAAGTGAACTGCAGCCATTCTCAGTGACAACAAGGTCCCAAGCTCCTCTTTAAATTGGTCACATAAGCAAGGTCCAGTGGATTGTCAGCACCTTGATAATGGTTGTTGTGGCTTGAAGGTTGTGGGTTCTGGTCAGGTTTGGTGCCAGATTATCAGGGACCCGGTGAAGAACCACGATTGTCTGTGTTAAGGATTCAGCAAAAGGATAAAATAAAAAGCAGAGATGAGCTTATTAAACACGAGTGGCTGGGAAGTCGGTGTCTCCAGATGGGCCCTTTTCTGGAATTCTGAGACAGGGTTTTGCTAAGTCACGAAATTGCCCAAGCTGGGTTGGGTCTAGTAATTCTCCTGTCTCAGCCTCCCAGGTGATGGGATTACAAGTGTGCACTAGCACGCCAGACAGCAGTGTATAGTACTTTGGTCCTGCCTCCCTGTCAGCCAGCAGTGACTATGCAGAGCAGACTCGGAGCCCTGCAAGGGGAAGGGAGCGAGAGTCAAGTGGCAAAGCCAGCCTCAGTCACACCAGGATTCAGGGCGCTGCGGTGCCGACATGAAGTCACTGTCCATATTCCTCTGTGCTCAACAACTTTCCCCGAGACAGCAAAGACTGGGTGGCAACGAAGTTGAGGGGTAAAGTGTCTGTCCGGCTTGCACGAAGGGCTAGGCCCAACTCCCCAGTGCCACCAAGCGGGAGGCAGAGCAGACAGCAAAGGAGACCTCTGAAGCTCTGGGTTCCCTTGCCAGCCTCGGGGCATCTCAGGAAAGATAGGAAAAAGCACCCAAAGTAGCGCTTCCGCAAAAATCACCGCCCAAGTGGGTCACGTGCCTCTCCCTCAACCAATCAGTTTCCTCAGAGAGGGAGGCATGGGAATGCTCTGATTGGCTGCACCAGGGCATTCCCTGGAGAGGGATGGAGGGGTAAACTCCAAGGTGTTTAAGTGACTGGGGAAGTTTCTTTCCCAAAGAGGCTGCACGTCATTGGCAGAAGTCTGGCAGAAGCCGGGCCTGATGGCACACGCCTGTAATCCCAGAACTCAGGAGGCTGAGGCAGGAGGATAGAGGCTAGCCTGTGCTACATAGTGAGTTCAAGGCCAGTCTGAACTGTCTCAAAAACTAAACAAAACAGGCTGGTAGAGCCATGGATGCCATGTGGCTGGCAGGACCGGTTGGGCCAATGTGTTTCCTCCTCCGCCGAGCGCAGCGCGGCCCTCCAGGGCTAGGGTAACCGCTCTCTCCATCATGGGAGAGAGCCAAGCTGAAGCTGTACAGCCACGCGGTGGAAGCTAAGGGCGTCTACCTTCTGCGAGCCCACCTGTCCCGAATGGTGTCCTCCCAGAGCTCTCACTTTGTCAATAGGGATACCACAATATCCCTATTGACTAGTGTGTTGGTACTGGGGATTGAACCTAGGGCCTTTGCACCAAACTACATCCCAAGCCTTTTATTTTCAAACCTTTTAAATTTTGCTTCCATTTTCAGACTTGTTCCTGCTAAGAGTAAATTATCCAGGCTAAACTAAAACTTGGCATTCTCCATTATAAATATCTACCACCATGCCCACCTCTTTTACTTTTTTTTTTTTTTTTTCATTTTCTTTTTTGTCTTTTTCGTTTTATCGGTACCAGGGATCGAGCTCACTACTGCCTGCTTGCAAGGCAGGTGCTTATGCCGCTGAGCTAAATCCCCAGCCCCCCTCTTTTATTTTAATGTTATCTTATTTTGCCTAATTTACAGTGCTCGCCAGTATCTGTAGTCATATTTACTTATGCAATGTCCCTTCTATTAGATCATCCAACACACGGAGAAATGTGGCGCATGCTTGTAATCCTAGCTGCTCAGGAGGCTGAGGCAAGAGGATCATAAACTCAAGGCCAGTTTGGACAGTTTAGTGTGACCAAGTCTCAAAATAAAATTTTGAAAAGGGTCGGGAGTGTAGCTTAGTGGAAGTGGAAGTTCCCTGTATCTGAAGAAAAAACAAACAAACCAAAAGTCATTCCCCTGAAGGCAGGTGTCTTAGTCACTACTGTGTCCTCACCACCTAGCACAGCACTTGGCGTACAACAAATGACCAGATTTGGGGCTGGGGATTTAGCTCAGCGGCATAAGCACCTGCCTCCAAGCAGGCAGTCGCGAGTTCGATCCCCGGTACCGATAAAAAGGAAAAAAGACATTAAAAAAAAATGACCAGATGGACACTACTAATAAAAGCACGTTATAATTATAGGAGGCTGAGGCAGAAAGAGTTCAAGTTTGAGCTCAGGCGCAACAATTTACCACCTTAGGCAGATTATGTGTTCAAATAAAAAAGGTATAAAAAGAAAGAATGCATGAATGAAAAGGAAAAGGGCTGAGGATCTAGGCCCTGGGTTCAATTTCTGGTATTGAAAATAAAAACATGAACAATTTTCTGAGGTAGTGAGTTCCCCGTTAAAAGAGGTGCCCAAAAACTGAACCCAGATGTCTTGCGCTCTGGGTTTGTGCTCTGGGATTTGGGGATGGCAATACGCAATGTGTGTACTACTGCTGCCCTGATTGACGTGTTTTGAAATTTTTAGTTTTTCTTTGAAATAAAATGATTTTGGAAAAAAATAAAAGGTGTGTCCAAGCTGAAATTTAATGACCATATGTTGCAATTAATTCAGGCTGCAAGGTCCCAACACATGCTCAGTTTCCCCACTTATAAGCGACGGATATGCTGGGTTGTGGGGGCGGCACATCTAGCCCAGCTCTCGCCTGCAATCCCCGCAGCAGCCACCAGCGGGCGTGCGCCCTACCGCGGAGCCGCGGCCGCGTCGCGACGCTCCTGGAAGCTTCCACGCCGGAGATCGGCTGGGCCCGGGGACCAGCTGCTGTGCGGGATCCGGGCTGCGGGGGGAGGGGGGCGGGGGAGGCGGGGCCCGCGCCGCGCGCGTGCGCGGGGCGGTGACTCAGGCGCGCGCCTCGGCCCGGTGCTCGCGGGGAGCGCGCACGGCCTCGGGAACCCGCGAAGCACTGAGTCCATTTTTACCAAAGCGCGGCTAAAAATAGTAGCGACGCTGGGAGCGGAGCCCGAAATAGCAGCCCCCAGATAAGGCAGGACTACTCAGCGCTTCCGGGGAGCGGAAGGGGGCGCGGGGGGGGGGCCGCCTGGCCGACCGGGTCCCGGCGTCCCCATTGTGCCCCACCGCGTCCTTGCGGCCACATTGGCCCCCGCCCGCCTGCCCTGTCAGGGGCTCTGCCCGCGCGGTTCCATCCTTGCCGGTGTCCAGTCCCCCATCCTCAGCTTCGCTCATCTCCCTCCCCCTCTGTCTCTGCAATTTTCATTCTCAGCCCTGCTCCCCTCTGTCTATCACTGACCCCCAACCACCCTATTTGTGTCCTTGCGCCCCTCCCCGCCACCATCACTCCCGGGCTCTCTGGACTCTGCTCCCCCAACACTGACCCAAACTCAGCGGCTATGGGAGTGCGGATCCGAAGTCCATGATCTGCGTAGGGGGAGGCCGGAGAGAGGGTCTCACTTCTCCAGGCCCAGGCCTAGGTCCGGAGTCTAAGCTCAGGCTGGAGGCAGATGCAGTGTAGTTCTTTGGTCGCCGAGGTTAAGGGTGTCACCAGTTTAGCCTCGGTCGAGGGGACCCACCACTTAGCTCACGGATGGATCCTGGTGCCCTAAGATTTTTTCCTCTGGGGGGGGGGGGACACAAAGGCTCCAGGCAGTGGGACAGCTGGGACCCCTGCTGTGCCTGGGCCCCTGCCAGTCCCCTTCTCATTCCCACAGCCTCTGGCCTCCACCAAGGATGGCTGGGCAGCAAGGGTCTGCACTACCTTTCCCAAGGGATTGAAAGACAGAGGGAAGTGACCCACTCTCTGTGACCCCCTGCAAGCATGCAGTGATTTGGCTGTGGCTGTGGCTTGCAAGCAGCTGCTGTAACTGGCAGACAGTTTCAAGTAACAGCAGTGTCACTGTCCCTGAAAGACACAAAGCCAAAGCCAGGTGCCCAAGTTGTTAGGCTGTCAGGGGGGCGGGGGACAAAACCACCAAAGGGTCAGGCTGAAGGACAAGAGGAATAGAGAGGATCAATCACGGAATTAGGACACTGGAAAAGGCAGCACTGACCAGACCGTACAGGGCCTGGGGGGCCATGGGAAAGACCCAGGATTTTTCCCCCAAGGGCACTGGGGAGTCATGACAGGCTTTGAGCCGGGAAGGGAGGGACAATTTTGGTTCTGGGTGTTTTGAGACAGGGTCTAGCTATGAAGTTCAGGCTGGCCTTGAACTCACCTTGTAACCCAGGCTGGCCTCAGACCTATATTGATCTTCCTGACTCAGCCTCCTGAGTGATGGGGTTACAAGTGTATGCTACCAAAACCAACTTTCAGCAGGCAGGAAGGACCAGGCTTGTTGGCTGAGACGCTGTGGGGTGGGGAGGGTGCGCTCCCTGATGAGGCCCTGAGGCTACTCAGGTGGGGAGAGCAAAGTGCTAGAGTTGTCTTTGAGATAAATCCACGAGGAGGAAGGAGCAGATATGGCCAGAAGGTACCCAAATCAGTTTCAAGTTACTCCAGAGATGGCAATTTTTAAATTTCTATTATTTATTTAAGACAAGTCTGGCAATGTAGTCCAGGTTGGCCTTGAGCTCCTTATGTAGCCCAGGATGGCCTTGTTGGCCTTGAGGCAAAGATCTTTCTGCCTCAGCCTCCCAGGGGCTAGGATTACTGGCATTATACTACCATGGCCATCTCTATTTTTATTTATTTTTGATTGACACATGACAATTTGCACATATGTATTGAGGAGGTATAAGTACAAAGGGATGTGGTTTTTTGTTATGTTTTTTGAGCCCTGGGAATTAAACCCAGGACCTTTGTAATGAGCTACACATCCAGCTATCCTTTTCCTTTAAAATTTTTTTTTTAACTTTTAACTTTTAATCGGTACTGGGGATCGAACTCACGGACTACCTGCTTGCAAGGCAGGTGCTTATGCCGCTGAGCTAAATTCCCAGCCCCCTTCCTTTAAATTTTGAGACAAAGTCTTGGGAAGTCATGAAGCTTGAACTTGCAGTCCTCCTGCCTCATCCTCCCAGAGTGCTGGGATTACAGTCATGTGCCACCACTTCTGGGTATATATATATATATATATATA